TAACGAGGACCAATACCGCACACCCTCGGTCCCTACGCAGACTGATCCAAGTGGTCACCCACCCGCACACTGACCGCAGCCAGTGATGCTTGACTTCGGTGATCTGCTGGGAACCGTGTCTTAACGATCAGTCCACTGCGGGACAAGATATCATCAGTACCAGAAAATTCGCATGTTTAATGTTAGCCCCTTGACAGTATTGTACGAGACAGTAGAATCACTACATCAAAAATTAAAATATCCCGTCTTTTTTTTTTTTTTTTTTTTTTTTTTTTTTTTTTTTTTTTTTTTTGCTTGAGCATTTAAAAGTTAAACGTATGCGTACCAAATTATTTTGTTGACGTATGCTCATTTGTAACCGTATGTATTATTAAATTTTTGTAGAATTAACATTTTTGCTAGTTTGTGCCAGAAAAACATCGCGGATAAATCATTGTACCTGTTTTTCCAATTACTTTAATGCAGAAATTTGCTGGAAACTGTCCAATGTGTCCTTCTTTAGGCACTTTACAACCCTCTGTGTATGTGCTCATAGCAGGATGAAAAGGATCATGACAATTACGATCTGTTCCATTTCTTGAACTGCAGGTGTAACAGCTTATAGCTTCTCCTATAACAATGAAAATGCTTTAAACAACATGCCACAAAGCTACGGATTTCGGACAAAACAACGGAAATTCTCAGATTCTCTTTTAACTTTACGATAAACAAAAAGAGGGTTCAAAAATCATAGTTTTTTCACACTTACTTAGAATACGACTAATGCTATTGCCAGTTGAACCCATTTGACTGAAAATGAAAGCTGAATTTATCGAAACAATTTTACAAAGTTGTTCTATAGATATCAAATAAATCCTTATGCCAGGTAATTTAGTATACCATGATTATTTAAAGTACCCATAAAATAAACACGAGATTTTAATTAAATTTAAAACAAGTATTAATTACTTATATCATACTTTCCCCAGCTAAAATTTGTTTGAATGATAATCACCTCAATGAAGAACTTCTTAACCTTAAAGCAATTCTGTGGAACGCGAATTTCGTACTAATACTATTTGTTCTACTCTATCTGGTCAGTAATATCTGCGCACTCACCTAAAGCATCATGGTGTAGAAGGCTGATCATGACTTGACCAGGATTTTTTAATTTCTGTATTTAGAAACATGGACTCTGAGATTTGTTAGGACACTGGACAATCTAGGCAATTTGGCCCGCTCAACTCTATGACAATACTATGGGGAAATCCCATGTCACTTCCAGCAAGATAACTGCTTTATTCCTACGTCGGGACTTGCGCAGCCATGGTTTGATGAAATGGGTGTTCAAAAACTGAATTGGTCTTCTCAGAATCCCGATCTAAATACAATGTAGCGCCTTAAGCGAATGTAGGATATGTAAATTATCACTGCTAACTTTCAGCTAAAATGAACGCTTGAAAGACAATTTCTCTAGTCACGTATCAAAAATTAGGAGAAATCTCTCCAGATGTGTGCGGGCTTTCCTCAATGCAAAAAGATGACCAACAGCATATTCATATATGCATCAGGACTCTTCGAGTCCGTAGCATTGGGTATCTGGATACTTTTGATCGTATAGTGTATCTTTAGAAAATTAACCACGAAGTCCTAATTCATCAAACTTAAGCATGTTGTCTTACTTTAATATCCCAGTATCAATCAAAAATTGCTAAAATTTTGAATTAGTTTAAGTTCAAAGTAGTTTTCTCTCTCCTGTTAACAAACTAAATATCACCAAACATTAACATCCTACGATAGACATTAACACCTTATAGCTGGGTTGCTTACCAAATTTCTTGTCAGAGTGATTTTGTGTATATTAGACAAATTAAACGTACTCTTAATATTTGACTTAAAGAATAATAAATATATGTTCAAAATTAAAATAAAACGCTCTTCCATCATCCTAAACTGTTGGATTACTTGATGTAACTTGTCTGTACTTTTCTAATTCACCTCTGAGTATCAACCATTGTTTAAATTTTTAAAAGTGTGAGGTTATTCTCTTTTAAACTAACATTATAGTATGTCTATTTGTATAACATTATTTTCGCCTTTTTTTACCTTATTTAGCTATATTCTTACATAGCACAAAATCACTTTCTTTATTTGGCTCCTTTGATCTTATTTACATCAGTAGTGATTGAAAATGTCTTTTGTTTTCCTTCCTTTAAATATTAATTTGAGATCTCTAATGAGGAAAACATTTTAAAATTCTTTTTTTTTACCAGAAATTTAAAAGTATATTTAAGAGACGATTATTGCGAAACACCCAATAGTAATAAAGAACCAAATCAGTTAACACTCATGTGAAGTCATTTCATTCCTTACCCCTCAAAAACTGTGATTTTAGCGATTTTTCTTATAACAATATAGAATTAATTATTATTTTTATATAACTTATTTTCTATGAAGTTCAGTCAATCATTGATATTGAAATTAAGATTTACCTTGATATATCCTTTGCATCATAAATGAAACCATAAAAGCAAATACGTGAACCATTGCGTTTCTCTTTTTCATATCAGTTCTGCATGATTTTCTGAAATATTCAAATGAAATTAACTCAGTTTTTGACCTGTATTAAAATAACAAATTCTTAAAGTAAAGATTCTTTTTTTTCTTTATGTCCATGAAAGTAAGAATAATTGGTTTCACTATTTAGTTAACTGCCCTTAATTAGAAAACAAAATATTCTATGACGCATCAAAAATATAAATTTAAATCTAAAATCCACTGACTGTGATTTTTCTTTTGAAAGAAAATAGAAAACTAATATAAAATAATTTTTACAAACTTAATCGTAAAGTAGCCAGTGACTTTTATTTTCTTAAAGCGCTACTTTTTAGTTTTTCCGGTTATGTTATGGCATAAAGCAATGACTACCGTAATACCTCTCCTAAAAAGTATCAAGTACATAAAAAATTTGCTACTTCTAGTCTTTATTAAGACACAAAATAAATTTTGATTTAAAACTTTACAATTGTCTTTTTTTTAATAAGTAAATACAAAACTCAAACAAAGCTACTTGTATAGACTTAATTATGAATAAGGATCTATTTTTTTTCTAGAGGTTATTTTTGCCTATTTGAGAATGGCGTAAAGCAATGAATATAATACAATCGTGATGCAATTCCCAATAATATCAAGTGTATAAAAAATTGTAGCTTTTAACCTTTATTGATACAAAAAATAAATTTAGATCCAAAATCTAACAAATGCCATCTCTTAAAACAAATAAATGGGAAACCCCAAAAAGTTATTATTATTGACATTATTATAATTTAGCCACTAATTTTTATTTTTTTAAGCACGACTTTTTATTTTGTCTAATCAAGTTAGGCAATGAGTAAAGAATTTATAAATTTATAACGTATTTGAATACTTCTTATTCTACTTCCATTAAATGTTAAGAAATACGCAATATTCTGAGATCTTCAACATTAATAATACGGGACAGAAATGAAAAAATACACTTAAAAAAATCGTGTAAATAAGAATAATATGTATAATAAATAAAAAAAAAATAATGTTCCAGGAGAAATAGTGAAGAAATATAAACGCTTTTTAACAACAAATATTATATAACTTAAGTTTAAAATGGTACTTACTCATATTAGCTTTAACCCACTTTAAAAATTAGGGGTCAACAAAGCCGTATTTTTTGTTATGGTGAGTATTAAAGGCATTATAATTCATTGGAAGGGTACCTAAAACAAAAATTGTTTCATAAAATCTTTTTTTTTAAATTCTTAATTTTACTTAAAAGTAAACTCATACCATGTAGAATACATTTAAGAAGATTAAAACAAGGTAAAAGAATCAAAACCTAATAAAAGATAAAATGTTATGTTTAATTACACATAAAAGAAATAATAAATATATTTTATATTTATTGCGTTTCCGCACATAAATTCTCTTTTTTTCTGTTATCAGAAAAGATATTCACTTAGAAAATATTTCATCGAAACCTTAGAAAATATTGCGAACAAAAGTTCTGACTTCGTCCACTATTTTTGTCTATATTTATTTAGTTTCTATATTTAGTCCACCATCCATTAAAAGAAGCCCTAAATTCACCTTCTTTTGTGCATACAATGCTTATTTATTATTATTTTCTTCTCATTAGAGAAATATCTTTCATCTATAAATAAATGCCATGTTCAAAACACTTATCAATACTGATCAAATACTTTTAGCTAAAAATTTTAATAAAAATTGAATTAAAATTTTAATAAAAATTTTAATTCAAAAAATAGCAATACTTTTATGACGTTCTTGAGTTACCATTTTGCCAACAGTCAAATGAAAGTTATTTCTTTATACTTGATAATGAAAAGAGTGCTCGAACAGTCACAAAACCACGGAAGCCAAGAGAGGCAAATCAGGACAAAATGCATTTCAAGCTCTATAGTGAGGGTGAGGAACTTGTGTTGTCAAATGGGGAATCGGTATGTATATGAATAGAACAAGATTCCTGAGCATTAAAACGAGCTGATGTAACAAAAGTTGTTTGGCATTGTCGAAACTTAATTTCTACCCAAAGTTCCAAAAATATTCTGTTCTACCCGATGTAGCAAAGCAATTTGCTCATTCTTTATATCAGTAAGAATTTTTATTATTATTATTATTTTTTAGANTATTTATATTTTTTTTTTTTTTGTACAAAAACGAAAAAGAAAAATTCTATCTTGGGGGACTTGTGTGAGCTTGTAAGAGCGTTCATATTAAAGAATTTTTGTACATCGTAACATTTTTGAATATTTTAAACAACCGTTTTAATTATCTTTTCTTAATCTTTCTGTGATTCTAAAAATAAATTTATATGAAAAATAAACTGTATATTCTGTTATTAAATGACAAGAAATGCTTTAAAAATATTTATTATAGAAAGATGGAATAAATTGTTCACAAGGACAGAAACCAGCAACAGGCTTAAGGCTTATACTGCGAAACTGTTACTAGGTATATGCAATGTACAGTGTGCTCTTTACTCACCACAATTAATATATGTATTTAGAATCCCTGTCAAAAATGAAGTCAAAATTATATGCGCATCAGAAGTCGCAAGTTAATACTGAAGAAATAAAAGCATGAACTTCATGAAAACCTGGTTCATCACTATTGAGAAAGGTAGGATTGCATAAATTGAAACCAGTTTGATTGCCGAAATTCAAAGTATAATCCTTCTACTTTCTCTACACTTCAACTGATATTTTTCTATAATTCCTGTCTTCTTTTTGATTTCTTTAGTAGCTAATAATAGTATGACACATATTATTAAAAAGTAAATGAATTAGAAAACAAGAATATTCACTCTTATTTTTGCAGGTAATAAAATTATATACATAAAAGAACTCTTTAAATATGACTTCAAGAGAAGTCATGTTTGAATTGAACTTTCTTATTTTGTTCACTGTTTTTTCTCTTTTTTATGAATTTAAATTGATTCTATTGGATCCGAAAAAACTTTCAATGCTGTCTCAATTTTTTTAAAATTTAGTCTGAACCGAAATGTAAAATACTATGATTTCTTTTATAATTCAATAAGCATATGGATTAAATGTATCAAATGTCTTTAAAAAAAACTAAAAACGTGTTTTCAATTAGTCTCAAACAACGTGTTATATTAACTTTGATACTTTGATACTCTGTAACTTACGCTACAATAGATATACTTCAGTATTCAATAGCTTAAAATACTCACACAATTCCTACTGATATCACTACTGTAATTCGTTAGTATCTTAAAATAAACGTCTTCAGCTAGTCAAGTTGGCGAGAAAAAAGATAAAAATCAATGAATATTGATCGAATCTGAAGAAAATAAAATGCAACAACGCCTTTTACCTTTTCAAGCAATTAATATCTTATAATCTTTAAAGACAAAAGAAACTATTATTTGACAATTAATAAATTATAACAAAATAAATCTAATACTTATCATAAAAGAGGAAATAAAAACATGTGACAGTATGCTTCACTTATATGCGAAAGAAAAAAGATGTCAACTTAACACTTAAATATCAAATATACATACAGAAAAATTTACCTTTAAGATATAGATACTATTATTTCAGACACGTTTTATGGAATAAATAAACAGATGGAAGAGATCCGGGAGCATTTGTAGTGGATCTTGCTTCCCTGGAAAATTTGGATCTAGTCCAGTAAGAGGGGATTTTCCGAAAGGGCTGAGAAATCTTATCGATCGAGAATGCCTTGCTCATAGCTTCCAATTAGGAATGATCTTTTGACATTATGTATATTCTTATATCATTAAATGTCAACAAGGAAGAAAGGGCATTTTCATGCTCTAAATTACATTCTTGAAAGTTTATTATTGCCACTTCCTTTATCATTTAATAAGTTTTAATATGCTTTTCTCTTTCCGGGCGGGGTATACTCAACTAAATTAAGTCTCACTTTCAAATAGTGTGTGTAAATTTTTCTATCATTATGTGCAAAGTGTTCCGAAAAGACCAAAGTAACTGTATATTTAAAGAACACTTTAGCAGAAATGAAAGTTTACACGCTTTTGATCACCTATTAATGCTAAACGAGAAATAAAAAAAATGCTATTGAAATCTGACAAATTAAGGAGGGTTGGTGTACAGTACATCAAAAACTGTTTAATTGCAATTTGAAGCTTGAAACCGTTTCCAATCTTCGTCTTTCAACTCCTCTCTGTTTCCTGCAGCTATGAAACGAGTTTTATTGTTTGCTGCATTCACTTTCTTCAACTTTGATATTGTATTAATTAATATTCCTAAATATATTGATTCGATAGATTTCGGTAGCGTTTTTGCTTTTTCTTTGCTTAAGTATTCATTTGTGATCCCATAAACTTCATACTTTTTTGTATTCATTTTTGATATGCATTTCAAAATTAAATGCTATACACCGAATATATATATATATAATATATATATAATA